GCTTGGTTTTATGCATTTTAGGGAGACATAAGACATCAATCAGTTTGTGTAAGATGTGTACATTGGTTCAGTCCGGAAAGGCAGGACAGCTCGAAGCAGGGAGGAGGCTTCCAGGTCATAGGTAGATAAGAGACAAGCAGTTGCATTCTTTTGAGTGTCTGATTAGCTGCTTACTAAATACACAATTTACATGTGAGACAGAGGTAGAAGAATAGTCACTTATGCCTTAGTCTGGCTTTAGTGAAACAATAGGGCAGAAGAAGCAATGAGATAAGAATTTGTCTCACATGAGCAGAGGGATGACTTTGAGTTCTGTCTGTCCTTTGTCGACACTAATATCCTTGTGGGCAAATTGTGAGGGAGATATGTAGCTTTTATAGCTATCTTATTTAGGAATAAAATAGGAGACAGGTTTGTCTGACTCAGTTCTTAGCTTGACTTCCCTTTGGCTTAATGACTTTGTGGTTCATATTTTCCTTTCACAGTCCCATTTTTGTAAATTATCTCTTAAATGACTCATGAAATCAAAGAGAGAGACAGAGCAGCTAAGAATGTCCATTTTCTTAATGTATATGGCTAGAAAGTACATAACTTCTAGGCTTTGCTGAAAAGACTTAGTACTTTAGAATGTTTTCATTATGGTGATGATATTTTTAACTTAGTGACTGTTGTACATGACAGTGGTTTTGTTTATTAATAGATTAAGGGTATTAGTCACATTATACTTTCCATAATACAGGTTTTACACATTTTATTGGTCATCATCATGAATTGACTGTAATGCACCACAGACAATATTGTATAGTATGAACATTGCAATCATTTTATAGATCAGAAGACTTGGATGTTGTCAATTACAAGATTCACATTAAAACAGATCCAAATAGCATTTTATCTATTTGAAAGTAAGTTTTTATTAATTTGAATTAGTATGTTCTATACCCCAATGTAAATAAACATTTATATTGGAATATTGAGTTAAAGTATTTATATTAAGTTTTATTATCAAATTGTCTTACTAAATTTTACATATTTTGTGAGGGTTACTTGCTTTCTAATACTAAAGGGGCATAGTAAACGGTGGCATTATATATTAATACAGTCGAATGATGTATTCTGCGCAGTGTCAGAATACATATCTCAAAGCCAGCAGGGCAGCTGGAAATTAGGGGAATCTCCAGAGGCAGACATAGAGTGGATAAGCCCAACTCTGCCTCAGTTCTTGGCTAAGTGCCATGTTGTACAGACTCAGGGGACACCCATAGGAAACCAGAAGCCACAAGATCAAAACACATATAAGCAGCTCCTTATTATGGATTAGTCTGTGGTTTTAATCCAGGAAAGGTACCTACCTGTTAGAATACAGATTCAATAATCCTCAGAAAACATGATAGAATCTAGTGTTTCTGTATTATGTTATCTATAATCTCTAGTTTACTATAAAAATTAAAAATTTTCTACATGGAATTAAACAGAAAAGTGTGATCTCTACCCAAAAAAGGCAATCAGTAGAAGTTGGCTCTTAGCTCAGATTTGAATTTAGCAAAGACTTCAAAGCAACTATTTTAAATATATTCAAAGAATTAAAGGAAAATATGGTATCAATAAATGAAAAAATGATCTGAGCGGAGAAATGATAACCATTAAAAAAAAAACAAAAAAACCTGGAAATCCTAGAACTGAAAAATACATTTACTAAAATTTTAAAAATCGCCAGGTGGGCTCAAAAGCAGTTTGGCAATGTTGGAAGAAAGGAACAGCAAACCTGAACACTCAGTAGAAATTGCCCTGTATGAAGAATAGAAAAGAAATCATCGAAGAAAAAGGAACAGAACCCATGAAACCTGTGCAGTGGTCCAATATACATGTGCTTGCATCCTGAAAGGAGAGGTGAAAAAGAGATAGAAAAATATTCACGGGAATAATGGCTGGAAACTCCCCATATTTAGTGAAAAATGTCATTTACAGATTTAAGAAGCTTGCAGAGTCCCAAGAAATATGAACACAAAACCATTTCTAGATATATTCTAGTCAACTGTTTGGATAAATGAAAAATTGTAAAAGCCTCTTTTTTAGGAAAGAGGAAAATGATACTTGCTTACCCTTCAAGGAAAACAACTGAAAATATTTGTTTCTGATGGTAACATTTGAGCTTTCAGGAAAACAAGAATTTTGGAAAACTTATATTAACCAGTATTTCTCATTATTTGACTTTGGAAAATTTGTAACCACCAACAGCTTCCCAATACTAAAAAGGGTTATTTAAAGAAAAAAAAAAAGACATTGATGGTGATGTTTAACAAATGTGACTTTAAAAAAGTATTTTGTAGGCTGGGCACAGTGGCTTACGCCTATAATCCCAGCACTTTGGGTGGATGAGGCAGGCAGATCACAAGGTTAGGAGTTCAAGACCAGCCTGACCACCATGATGAAACCCCGTCTCCACTAAAAATACAAAAATTAGCCGAGTGTGGTGGCATGTGCCTATAATCCCAGCTATTTAAGAGACTGAGGCAGGAGAATTGATTGAATCTGGGAGGTGGAAGTTGTAGTGAGCTGAGATCAAGCCACTGCACTCCAGCCTGGGTGACAGAGTGAGACTCTGCCTCAAACAAACAAACAAAAAACACTTTTGTAATGAAGTGTGCCAACATTTGGAGATTTACATAAAGGTAATGTATGTAATTCAGTGAACAATTATTTTCCAAGTGACCAGTGTATGATGTTACAAAATCTTTTGCTAAATATCCATTCAAAGTGCAAGGCAGACCAATGGATTTTAATATAACAAAGTACAAAAAGTTCGTTGATACGGTTTCAATTTTCATATGGCAGCTAGTTTTTAAGAAGCTATTATATATCGATATTTGTTATGAAATCAACAAAGAATAACTGTAGTTTTCTGAAAAGGTTTAATTGCTCTTCCCTTACAAATCTATATATGAGAGGTCAAGTTTTCTTTATATACTTCAACCACAGCAATATTGCAACGATGAATGCAGAGCAGATTTGAGAATTCAGCTGTCTTCACTTAAGCAGGACATTAAAGAGACTTGCAAAAATGTATGAAAAATTTTAAAATTCTTTAGGAAATTATAGCTATTTTCATAAAATATACTTTTAATACATAGTGAGTTTATTAAATGAATTAATATGTATATTTTAATTCTTATTTTTAATTTCTGATATAGTAAATGTGAGTAGATCTTCCCCACATTAACTAAAGCTCTTTGGCCTCCTCCATTCTTTTCAGGTATAAAGGCATCCTGAGACCAAAATGTTTAGAGCTGTTCGAGTCTGCTCTGCCTCCGCTTTGAGACAGCACAGTCCTTTAAGAGCAGCAGACTGTAAAATTAGAAATATCTTAGAGCTCAGGAGATTAGTATTCTTGAGTTTATGATGACATTCAATTTTTGTTGGTATCTTTGATTATTTTCAAGTAAACAATGAAATATGCTGTCAAGCGGGCTGCTTAATGCTTCTAGTCCCCTTCCCCCAATTTCTTTCCAGACCTTTATTTTTTTTATGAGAACATCACCAGGAAAACAATAAGGGACTTTTGCAGTGGTGACTGATTCTTATTTTCTTATGTTTAGAGGTTATCAAAAAACATTAGAGTACTTTAATGGTGAATAGCATAATAGCGCTAGCATAGTCACTGCTATGCTGTTCTGAATTCTTCCTCAGTTTCTGGGAATGGGCATTAATCATTTGAAATCAGAATAATCATATAGAATCATTGAAGTTTGTATCATTTGGTATGAAGAAGAATTGTAAAGATGGCAACTGAAAGAAACCCTTAAGTTTTTTTTAGTCCTACTTATAATTTTTTATTAAATGCATGGGCCAGTGATTGTTTCAGTTTATCTAGCAGTTGACAAAACCAGTCTACCAGAAATAAATTTGTTATGTGATGTTCATAACATAAATGTATAGTAAGTTTAACGTTGCGTTTGTTTTTTTTTTGACAAAAATAACCACGAAAAATTAAAAACATGAAAGCCCAGTTGCCTACCTGCTTGCATGAAACTGAAGAGATCTCAGCTTCCATACCTTCCCTCCCACGCATTATTACTTTTCCCATTTCTTGGTGTTTCACCCCTTTTCCCATGTTCTTAGTGACTTTGCACTTGCATTTGGATTTGGAAGACCCGTCACTGCAAATAAGCTTGTACAGATCTGATTGTTGTTGTCGTTGTTCTGTTTTTAAGAGACAGGATCTTGCTCTGTCACCCAGGCTGACTTTGCAGTGGTGTGATCATGGCTCACTCGAGCCTCAGCCTTCTGGCGCAATGGATCTTCCAGCCTCAGCCCCTGGAGTAGCCAGGACTACAGACACATGCCACCATGCCTAGCTAACAGGTCTGATAGTTTCTTAAGACTTAAACTATTGTGGTCATAAAATCAGACAAATGTTACTGTACTCTTGCTTCTGGTCTTTTATATTTTCACCTAATATTTTTGGTAGCTTTGAAACTGACATGTGTGGACAGGAGCACTAAAACAACTTTATATGCTGTTTCTTTATGTTTATGTTTATTTTGTTTTAGAGATGTTGCCCAGGCTGGTGTGCAGTGGCTATTCACAGGCGATCATTGTGTACTACCGCCTCAAACTCCTGGGCTCAAGCAATCCCCTGGCCTCATCCTCCTGAGTAGCTGGGGTGACAGGAGCATGCTGCAGCACCTGACCTTTCTTCCTTTGATAATTGAGTTGAGTTACATGGACATTATAAAATAGACAGTTTTCTACTGTATTGAGTTGAAAGGACTTAATAGTGATTTGTTTTCTGAATCTTACTTTATTTTTGAAATGATAAGGATTTTCATTCTCTTAGCAAATGATGTGACTCTGAAAGTCACATAAGGCCTTCACCAGAATAGAAGCTTCTAATCTAAGGATGTCAGTTCGAGGGGTTTCCATTTGGGTCTGGAAATAATACCTGATTGTTTATCATCTGACTTCTTCAATACAGTTTCCCTTATTATTATTATTTTTAGGCCAAAGATGAAGAGGAAGCCTTTCTGGATTGGAGTGATGAAGATGATGGTGGATTTGATCCAAGCACACTCCCAGATCCAGATAAGTACAGAAGCTCCGAAGATTCAGATAGTGAAGATACGGAAAGCAAAACTAGGTACGTTTTTACCATTGGTATCAAATATATATTCAATACTCATATGAGTCTTTTAATGAATCTGAAAGAGTTCTACACTGAGAGTGTGTTTGTTTGTTTGGTACCTTTACTTATATTCCTGGAAATCCTGCTGCTATTTTTTACTCATTTTGCTTCAGGTTGTTCTAGAAATATGCTTTTCTGATTATGTTAGGGCCTTTTTTATTATTTCTGTAATCCTTATTAACAGATATAAGTGTGATATATGAGTTGTATTTTTCCTTTCTTTATTCTTTTTTTTCTAATCATTTTCTGAGTCCTTTATGCCTAAGTATTTGAGGCACTAAGATATGTTCTGTGTAAACAGAGTTAGGGTTTTATGTTTTTTTTTTTTTTCATTTTCAAAGAACTACATTAAAGATACTGCTAAAAATTTTCCTTGAATTATAAAAAGGGGACATTATTCCATGTTATTTTACATGGAATTAAATAACGAAATACTGGAGGGGCTGGGCCCCGTGGCTCATGCCTGTAATCCCAACACTTTGAGAGGCTGAAGCGAGAAGATTGCTTAAAGTCAGGAGTTTGAGAGCAGCCTGATCAACAAAGTGAGACCCGAAATCTACAGTCAATCAATCAATCAAGGAAAACTTGTACATTGACAAATTCCTTCACTTTAAAATCTGTCTATTTGCTATTATCTATTTGCTACCTTTGCCAGAAACAATTGAAATGGGACGAATAGTGTGACTTGCTCAGCATTTGTTTTCAGAGTACTATGTATTAGATTACATTAAGAGTCCATTGATTTAACAGTTGAGAATGTTAAACTTCATGCTTAATCGAAACGAGCTTCTTTACAGAAGGGAGGTACTAATGACAGAGTTAACATGATTAAAGGAAACTGGAAGCTTGGGGGAACCCTTGAAGTGCTAGTACATGGACTTAGAGAACTAGGCCATGGAGAGCTAGAATTTGTTTTAAACAAGAACATTATGAAAAGGTCTTAAAGATTTTCTTAGGTGAAAATGCTGTAAGGAGACAGAGTCACTCTTCATTTGAATCTTTTTTTTTTTTGAGGTGGAGTCTTGCTCTGTCTTCAGGCTGGAGTGCAATGGCGCAATCTCAGCTCACTGCAGCTTCTGCCTCCTTGGGTTCAAGCGATTCTCCTACCTAAGCCTATCAAATAGCTGGGACTACAGGCTCGCACCACATGCCCAGCTCATTTTTGTATTTTTAGTAGAGATGGTATTTCACTGTGTTGGCCAGGATGGTCTAGATCTCTTGACCGTTAGGAGTAAATGTATACACTCTTGAGTTCCTTGGTATATGTGTCAGACCATTAGATGAACCGCATTGGGGTTGGGTTTGCTGTCCCTTGTCTTTCTTATAAATGTACCTCTTTTGGAATGGTTTATAGGGTCTGATTTTGGTGGATGTGATTTAATGTATAATACGTGACTTTCAATCATTATCTTCCAAGTGTTTCCATGTAACTTGACTGTCTGAAGGGAGCGTTAATTGGTTCTAAGTTCTGCAGCCGTATTTTGCGTGTGTGTCTAATATATCTTTAAAAGATAGAGTTGGCTGGGCGCGGTGGCTCAAGCCTGTAATCCCAACACTTTGGGAGGCCGAGGCGGGTGGATCATGAGGTCAACAGATCGAGACCATCTTGGTCAACATGGTGAAACCCCGTCTCTACTAAAATTACAAAAAATTAGCTGGGCATGGTGGCGCGTGCCTGTAATCCCAGCTACTCCGGAGGCTGAGGCAGGAGAATTGCCTGAACCCAGGAGGCGGAGGTTGCGGTGAGCCGAGATTGCGCCATTGCACTCCAGCCTGGGTAACAAGAGCGAAACTCTGTCTCAAAAAAAAAAAAAAAGGATAGAGTTAACCTTTGAAACCTGTGGCAGGATGTCAGCAATCCTTCTGCATCTGATATCTATAGGTTTTTTTCCGTAACATTTTTAATGATAGTTTCTGGGTCATCTTTCATCTGTGTACAGCAGGCATTTCATTTCATTCTTCTGCCATTTCTTACTCTTATAGTAACATTTCCATGCTACCACCTCGCTAATATAACTGGTTCTCTAGTAGCTCATGTGTTTTATCCTGTTAATTAGTTGTGTTTTGTACCTAGAAATTGTCTTTAATCTTTTTTTTTGTACTATCATTTAACTGCTCTGGCTTCTGTTCTTACCCTTAATATTAATGTCATGGCACAATATTAACTCTAATATTAAGAGTTAAAAATACTCACTTGATCTGTGAGTCTCTGGGTGTTTGAATTGGTTAATTGATTGATGAAGGAGATTTACAGGGTTAAAAAAGAAATGTAATCGTAACAGGCTGTATCATTGGTCCTAATATTAATAGCTTAAATGATCTAAGAGGTGACAGAGTATAGACGGAGAGTTGGAAGAAGCCAAGTTCACAGAGTGTAGTGGTGATGAAGAAGGAAGTAGGAGCACCTTGAGAGATGCCAAAGCATCGTAAATACAGGTTCAGATGGAAAGTATTTAAGCATTATATGAAAATTAAAACCATTTTAATTTCAGGCACAGCTAACAAGTCTGCATTAGTGGAGACTGGGATTGGTCAACTTGTTTTATTTAAGCTGACAAGAAATTGTCTTTGCTTGAAGAGGAGGATATCAGTAAGTGCTTGATTACTGACAAGGCATTTTATTCCTGTCGCATATGTAATACATACATTCTTGTGGCTTCCTAGCAGGTTTCTTGTTTTGGCCTGTGAACACGGAGACTGTGTAATCATCTTCTTACAGCGTCCTTCTTATAGATGAGAAAACCAAGGCCTTCAGGGCTAAAATAACGGACGTGATCACAATGAAAGTTAGGGACAGATCTGTGTGATCTTTATAAATTAAACGAATTCCCTAGTTCTAGAATCCCAGTTAGGTTGTATAGAATTACCCTCGTGTTAAGAGAGGTAGCTCAGGATAATGTCACTTGACTAAAGACCTGCATCCATGGACTAACCATAAGATAGACTTGACTAAACCGTGGTTTCCCACCCTCAGCATTATTGGTATGGTGGCCCAGATAAGCTTTTGTTTGGGGATGGTGATAAGCATCATTCCTGGCCTCCACCAATAGCAATCCCACCCATTTGGGACAAGTAAAAATGTCTTTAGACAGGGTTTTAAAGAGTTTGTACTTCTGTCTTCTTTCTTAGTTCAATACATAACTGCAATAGAATTTAAACCACCTTTGACCCTCTAGAATTCTCAGAATTGTTACCCTAGCACTGAGATTTCAAAAGCGTTCTGATGTGGATTCAGCTCAGTTGAATTAGCGTGACCAAAAGAGATCTTGCTTATAATATGATTTCAGGGACAATGGAAATTACTTGACTTTGAGTGAGCTTTAAGAATGCTGCCATGAAGAATTGATTTATCCTAAAAAACAGACCTGTGGAACAGGGGAGCAGCTTATCTACCCATAGTACAGAAGTAGTTGGGGCCAGAGGTCCAAACTCCATTTTAAGGATTTAGGATTTCATGTGCTAATTTTGACAACAGGTATAGAAGGGAGAGCTTGCTCTGATGTTCTCTGGTTTTTTTGCTCATCTTTATCCATCTTCTGTGTTGGTCTAGGCTGTGTTATGCTCTGTGGCTTTCACCTCTCATTCTCCCTTTGAAAATGTGGAATTAACATAGGTAGAATTAATAGATGTTAGGATTTATTGTTGTTGTTATCGCTGAAGACACGACAACTTGGTGGGAAACCCAGCTCTGTTTCAGTGGGCTTTGTGACATTGATTGAGTGTATTGGTGTGCTGGGAACTGCACAGAATCCTGTGTTCTTTTCTCCAGTAAGTTTTGAAAGAGTTTTGTACCTTTTGAGGAACAAAGACCTCAGATACTGTAATTGCCTTTGGGCTCAAAAATGATTTTTTATTTCATATAGTCTGTATGATGAAGTTAGACCATGCTTACAATGAAAATATTTTTAAAAGCTTCTATGTGGGGTGCCAAGAAATAGAATAAGAATCTTGTGTATTATTTAAATGATATTTTACTTAAGAGTTAAAAATACCCACTTGATCTGTTAGTCTCTGGATTATAATATTTCTTCCATCCATTCTTTCAACTAAAAATGTTTTAGTGTCTGTCATGGGTCAGGCATAGTGAGTGCAGGTACAGAGGATTAAACATTAAACAGGAAAAATATCCTTCCTGCTTTCACAAAGCTTTTTGTTCAGTGGAGGTTACAGGTAGCTAAGTAAGCAATTACACAGCACTGTGCTGGATGAGTGCCGTGGTTTGTGCACTCGAGGGAGGCGGTGGAAAGTGGAGCTGACAGTGAATGACCATGGTGACCACATATGTAACAGGTCTAATCTAGGCCTGGTGAATCAGAAGGAGCTTCCTGAAGGCAGTGATGTCTACAGTAAATCGGACATAGGCGTACACGTTAAGTGAGCAGGGAGGAGGGGAAACTGCACTTCTAAACAGTGTGGCCTCTGAAGTGAGATGAGTGTCTAACCATATTCCAGTTAAACTCATCTTTCAACAGAATTGTTTCTTTTTGCTGTGCTTCACAAGCTGAGAGACTTGACTCTGAGCATGTAAGATTAATTTTTATATATCTAGTAGCATTTATCATATTTGGTGCTTGGCCATCCCTGTGTGAATTGTTAATGATGTGAAAATTTGCCGAGTATTAAATACAGTGAAAAAGAAACAGCTGGATGTTCCAGGTAGTTATTATCCAGTCAAATGAAGTTTTTAATATTTATAATGTTAACCTTTTTCAAACAAAAAAAAAGGAAAAAGAAAGATGATGATTAGACTTTTAGTACCTTACATCAATCTTTGCTTTGCAGACTGTTCTCCAAGGCAGGCAGTTTTATAAAGAATTCTTACAGGGTAGAGTATTTGGTAGATTATTCTAGGACGCATAAGACCAAGTACATCTACAGTTTGTACTGAGGCTATTGTCCTCATTTAGACATGATAATTTCTATATGGATAGATACCTTTTCCTTTACAGAGTAAA